TTTCTCAGTAATTGATTGGTTTAATTGAAAAATCTGATTCTTAAATTGTCTATAGGTTCATAAGGGTAAATTATCAGAATCATATTTTTGGTATTTATGTTCTTTTTCCATAGGTGATGTAGTTGAAAAATACATATGATTTAAGTAAATACCATAAATATTACAAAAATGACATTCTTTATACAAATTATGGTCAGTTAAATACATAAGTTTTGTTAGTCCTGAAGTATCGCCTGATCATGATAAAACATGTGTGCATAATAGAAAATATTCTTTTTTTAATCCATTGTAGCAATATATTCTAGCTAAAAGCAATATTAAAACATACATTAATTATATACAAAAAAAGGAAATGAATACTAAAATTAACAAATATACTAATTTTTTTAGTTCTTTGACTATAGGATATATAAATGAATTAAAGCACTTAGGTTCTTTTAGCTCTAGAATACTTGCTATTATCAGAAGATGTTCTTTTTTAACACGTTCTTCAGGACATATATTAGCATTGATTATAAGAACTATCTAATAATCTTCCGTCTTTTGTTGAAAAATCTGGTAATCATCAATGGATCCTGTCAATGCAATATCTCTATCGTCTTTGAAATATTTATCAGATAATAGTTTTTGGTATCTAACACCATCAAATATATCACCAATTTTACCATCTAATCCAAAATCTTGACGATAAGTATAATTTATATGATATTTTAACCTTTCAGAACCTTTTGGGTCTTAATACTTAATCTTAAGATAATCTTTAATGGAAAAAAAGGCCATCTGACATTGAGGAAGTCTTTTTTCCATTGAATGTCCAGTTTGGAATCTCAACATATAACAATACTCACATAATTCATCATATTTGTATTTTCCTGTATATGCACAGCAAGAATTGATACAGATATCCACTCATGTAGGCTCTATTGAAACAATTGATTGTAGTGTTCATTTGATTTGAAATAAACTGACATTGCTACTATTAACTGCCATTATAGTTTGTAGAAATGTATTATCTGTCAAATTACAATGAGACTTGACCCAGAATAACCTTATAGCACAAGTCAATTTATCAGATAAGTGTATGTGTTCTTCAGATTCTAAATTAATAAAAATATTTAAATAATATTTTAAATGTATTGCTTATTTAATTATTGTATTTTATACCTAAAATTTTGATATGAGATATATCTGAGTCAGAAAATTCATCAGTTCCATTTGAAGATATTCCACTTGAGGATGGTTCATAATCTATATAAGACTCTTTGAAACATTTCCAACTATTGTTAATGTCTTGTATAGTCAATCCTTCATTAATATAACCTTTATCAACAGATGTTTTCTGCCTTATCAGATAAACTCAAAGATGCTTCTCTTTCAGATCTTTAAATGTATATTCTTATTAGTGAATATCAGAATGTAAACGATGACATTATAATAAAACATATATAAAAATCATATTATCAGAAAATGATGATCTGGATAGCTCAACAAGGATAAATAATTCACTTTTAGAACTAGTACAAATATCTGAAAAACTTAAGATTGAAGCTGTTTCAGAACTGGAACTCAAAATAAAGTCTAAGACTGATGAATTTTCATCATTTCAATTATGATGTCTAGTTCTAGTAGACTTGGAATAAACAATCTAATTTCTCTTTCTTACAGTAGTGGTCATAAGTATCTGACCACCTGAGATCATCCAAAATTATTATATAACTATCCCTTAAATTTTCCAGAAATATAATGTAATACAATACATGATCACCTGTAAATTTATAAGTGTTAATGATACAAAAAAAAAAATTTAGATGATCATCAAACTTTCGCTTGAAAAATGGAACTTTCTTTAGAGAAACGATAT